ACCAGAGGGGAAGGTCCTGGAGAGGGAGGCCTGGCCATCTCCTCTCCGTCATGTTCAGAGCCTTCCTCCTCTGATGAGAGGGACCCACAGGACGGAGCCACAACACGGAGTGTCTCTTGCTACCACCGTGCCAACCCCGCATCTTTTTTTTTATTTTCACTCCTCTGACTAGGCCGAAGGTGACGTGTGACTCATTCTTGCCTCCTCTCAGATGTACATTGCCCCCAAGGCCGCCATCTTCCACAGCGATGATCCCCTGAAGGAGCCGGCAGCCATGCTGAACAACATGAGGGTTTACGGCTCGGCCTTCCTGCTGCTTATGGTGCTGGTGGTATTTGTGGGAGTGCGTTACGTGAACAAGTTTGCCTCCCTTTTCCTTGCCTGCGTCATCGTCTCCATTCTGGCTATTTACACCGGTGTCGTCAAGTCCTCCTTCGCACCTCCTGATTTTCCGTAGGTTACTAGCATACTCTGAGAAAGCTAACCAAACTCCCGTTGAAATCCCTACCATCCTGCCCCTAAAGGTGTTGGGAAATATAGAATGGCCAGCAGAAGAAATGTGCTCTCCTTAGTACTCTCTGAATTTGGCTGTTTCCTTGTTACCCGAACTAGGTAACATCTAGTCTAGCACTGATGATATTACCTAGTTTGGGTAATGAAACGTCTGCAAGAAAACAACCCAGCTCAGAGAACTCCAAGGACCTCTCATTTCAACAAATATTCTTCTTTACTGAGAATTTCCTTCCCAACCCTAGAATTTCTAGTTTGTGTGTACAAACAGAACAACTCACCATTCCCACGGATAGTAGCATGTACTAATGTTCAAACTTGTTCACCTTTTGAAATCCAATTTGCTCGTCTTTATTTCTCTCCCCATTCAGCGTGTGCATGCTGGGGAATCGTTCCCTCTCCCAGCACCATATTCAGACATGTGCCAAGACCAAGGAGTATGGCAACCTCACCATACCCACGTTCCTGTGGACACGCTTTTGCAACCATACCAGGCTCCTCAATGCCTCTTGCGATGAGTATTTCCAACACAACAATGTCACGGTTATCCAAGGAATTCCCGGACTAGCCAGTGGTGTTATTGCTGGTGAGAAAGGGTTTACTTTTGTTCTTTGTCTAGCAAAAGTGCTCTTTGTTTTTTCTCTGTTGCTCTTCAAGTCATTTCTTATTGTAGCAGTGGACTGTGAAGTTTCTTTGGGACGCTTCTCAGCCTAATTGTTAAGAGGATTGTGGGATGGGGGACACTATTACACTGTCCAGAGCTCTTCAAATAAATGATGGGGTGATGGTGGTGGTGATGGTGATGATGATGATGACGGTGTCATAATTTCAGAGAATCTTTGGAGCAGCTACCTGACGAAAGGTGAAATACTTGAGAAGCCATCTTTGCACTCGGTTGATGGGGGAGGCGCTCTGAATCAGCAATATGTCCTGTCTGATATCACCACTTCTTTTACCCTTCTCGTGGGCATATTTTTCCCTTCTGTCACTGGTAAGTGCCTGTGTTGCTCTTGAGCTCTCAATTCAATGTGGGCTTCAAAACCAAGCCATATTAGAAGGGTAGATTAGTTAGCTATGAGGCCTAATATTTGGACTCCTGAAGATTTCAACTGCAGTTTCTCAACTTTGGTAAAAGGAGCTTGATCCTGGCCAGATTAAGACCAGTAAGAAGGGCAAGATTCAGATTTATTGTTGCTTTTTCCCAAGTTGGACCAACTCTGCTTACTCAGTTAGCATTTACTTTTATCGAAGCAATGGTTCCTCTGCCAAAAGTTTTACATAAAATACCAGTCAGCACTGTTCCTTATTATTACTTTGTTCAGTCACATAAATGTACATTCCAGAAATATATCAACTCTTTATTTAAATGATGCTGTTTTCGTAGGAATCATGGCTGGGTCAAATCGTTCCGGGGACCTAAAGGATGCCCAGAAATCTATTCCCATCGGTACCATCCTGGCTATTCTCACCACCTCCTTTGTGTGTATCCTTTGCAAGCAGCTGGAGGCACCTCCAGACAACCCGCCACCTTACATTCCATTCCTTCTAAAATCAGTTTAATAGAAAATCAAGATTGAAAAGGACTACTTTGCACAGTTTTATAATCATTTCGACACAAGCCTGGGCATGTTTACCTATTTGTGAATCTGGAGCTTGTAGAGAACTAGCAAACAATTTCTGTTGCTCTTTTAGGCCAGTATCTGGGTAGAGCAGAGTTTCCCAATTTTACAACTTTAAATATATCTGGACTTCAACTGGTAGAATTCCCGAGCCAGCATGCTGGCTGGGGAATTAGGTCAAGCCCAAACATCTTAAAGTAGCTAAGGCTGAGAAACACTGATGTAGAGAGAGCTGTCAGAACATCATCTTCCTCTTGGATAAGGTTCCTCATTCTTGACCAAAGAGAATGCCTTCTTTATGTTCTGGAATTTGGACCCCTTTAATAATGCCAGTGTGCTGCTTTAACAAATCCCAGATGTTTGGGGGCACATTGAACCCAGAATACTCTCTGGTGAGGATGACAGCTTTGTTGCCTTGAAATTATGTTTCCTCATCCACAGATACAAAGCTACTGGCAAGGAAATATATCAAAGCTGTTTACAATTTCAGCCCTGTAGTTCATCTTGCCCTGATACCAGGACCGTGCCTTAGTTTAGCAGATTCCTGGCTGGAATATGTTAGGATTAATAAGCAAGGGAAGAGAACTGATTTGATACAGTTAGCTTACGTGAAGACTAGCTGTTCATTTTTACTGCATTGTTCTTTGCACAAAATTACCTTTGACTCTTGCCACATTAGATCTTAGCAATGTAGTGCTGTTTGGGGCATGTGTGGAAGGCGTTGTACTCAGGGACAAGTAAGTAACAGTACCTTGGCTTTCTTTAATTTTATAATTTCCCAATAGTAGAAACTGCTTGTATATTTTTCTGGGTATGGGTTGTGTTGGCTATAAAGAGCCATGGTGGCGCAAAGAGCTGTGGTAGCGCAGTGGTTAGAATGCAGTATTGCAGACTAACTCTGCATTTCCTCTGCCAGGAGTTCGATCCTGACCGGCTTAAGGTTGACTCTGCCTTCCATCCTTCCGAGGTCGGTCAAATGAGGACCCAGATTGTTGGGGGCAATAGGCTGACCCTGTAAACCTCTCAGAGAGAGCTGTAAAGCACTGTGAAACATTATATAAGTCGAAGTGCTATTGCTATTGTTATAAAGTTCCTTTGTGGTCAACATCTGGACTGTTAGATACGTGCTTCTTTTTTAAAGCTGGATATTTGTGATTAAAGATAGTTTGGAGTATCGGTTAAGGCATCAGGGTAGAGACCAGGAATTAGATCTACCTTAGGCACAAAACCAGCTGGGTGACCTTTGTCTGCTTCCTCAACCTTAGGAAGCAGACAAAGTCAAATCACGTATGAAAAATATTGCCAGGAAAACTCCAGAGATCAGGTAGTCGCCAGTACTCAAAGGCAGGTGGGTGTGCATACACACAAATTGTGATTAGCATTTTATTTTGCTTCTGTTCCATGGCTTGGATCTAGTTAGAATGCAATTATATATCTATTTTACTAGGAATTAGTTCCCTTTGAAGTTGCTTTAAATACTATTTGATAAATAGCAACAATGAAGAAGGATCCTCATCTTTCTATCCTCCTTATGAACTTTCCAGATACATTAGGATAATCTCTGTGTGAGAGAAGTTACTAGACTAGATGGGCTTTTTGGACCTGATCCAATAGATCTCTTCTTGCATATAGGAGCGTGCACTGTGAATTACATTATTTCCACTGGAATCCGAAGATTTTTGCAATCAGTTTGTATGGAGCCGTCAATATAGTAGAATATATCAGGGCTTTTCAACCAGTGGTACGGATACCACCTGTGGTACATTGGCACCGGGCAGGTGGTACGTGACCATCCTAGAAAAGTAGCGAGGGAGGGGAATGAGAGCGCCACCGGGTGGGCAGGCAGGTGTCTTGCTCCCGCTGTGCCTTGGGGGGCACTTTTTTCAGTGCCATTGTAACTTCGAACAGTCACTAAGCAAACTGTTGTAAGTCGAGGACTACCTTTACTTTCTCACTCTTTTCCTTTTTTTTTTTTGGGTCATCAAGTTTTTGACACCTTGCTAGGCGACTGGTGGTACTCGAATATTGCCATATCCTAAAAGTGGTACAATGGGTGAAAAGGTTGAAAAGCCCTGGAATATATAATTTCTTTTTCTAGCTTGCTTCAGGTGCACTTCTGAAGCCTTAAGGATTCAATTTAACAATGCTCCTTGTTGTGTCTATCCAACAGATTTGGCGACACGGTAAAGGGGAACCTGGTGGTGGGGACGCTCTCCTGGCCGTCCCCTTGGGTCATTGTCATTGGTTCGTTCTTCTCCACATGTGGAGCTGGCCTGCAGAGCCTCACAGGTGCACCCCGACTACTGCAGGCTATAGCAAAGGACAACATTATACCCTTCCTGCGGGTGAGCGGACCTATTCTGCTTTCAGATATAGGGAATGTCATAAGGGTTAAATCATGCTCTCTCTGGCTTCTCTCACACATGCGTTCATTTTAGGTTTTTGGCCATGGTAAAGCGAATGGGGAGCCCACCTGGGCTTTGCTTCTGACAGCGGGCATAGCAGAACTTGGGATCTTGATTGCCTCCTTGGACATGGTCGCCCCTATCCTCTCCATGTAAGTGCCATCTTTCTCGTGGGTTGGGGGGTCCCAAGGAAACACACGTTGCTGACACCACCAGATGCTTTTCTAGGTTCTTCCTGATGTGTTACCTCTTTGTCAACCTAGCCTGTGCCTTACAAACCCTGCTACGCAGCCCCAATTGGAGACCACGCTTCCGGTACTACCATTGGTAAGAACGCTCTTCTACCTAATTGTTGAAAAAGGGTGTGTGTGTGACACAAATGGATGCAGAAGATGAACAGGGTGGGGGAATTTAGACACCTAACTCCTACCGTGTTTCCCCGAAAATAAGATAAGGTCTTATATTAATTTTTGCTACAAAAGATGCATTATTTTCCGGTTAGGGATTATAGGTTAGGGAAGTGTGTAGTGGGGTGCCCCACGGCTCTGTTCTGGGCCCAGGGCTCTTCAACATCTTCATCAACGATCTGGATGAGGGGATAGATGGGGAACTCATCAAATTTGCAGATGACACCAAGCTGGCAGGAATAGCCAACACTCCAGAAGACAGGCTTAGGATACAGGAGGATCTGGACAGACTTGAACACTGGGCGCTATCTAACAAAATGAAATTCAATGGTGAAAAAAGTAAGGTTCTACATTTAGGCAAGAAAAACCAAATGTACAGATATAGTATAGGGGGTACCTTGCTCAATAGTAGTAACTGAGAGAGGGATCTCGGGGTCCTAGTGGACAATCACTTAAATATGAGCCAGCAGCTACCCAAAAAGCCAACACAGTGCTAGGCTGCATTAACAGAGGGATAGAATCAAGATCATTAATACCACTTTACAATGCCTTGGTAAGGCCACACTTGGAATACTGCATCCAGTTTTGGTCACCACGATGTAAAAAAGATGTTGAGACTGTAGAAAGAGTATAGAGAAGAGCAACTAAGATGATTAGGGGACTGGAGGCTAAAACCTATATAAGGAACGGTTGATGGAATTGGGTATGTCTAGTTTAATGAAGAGAAGGACGAGGGGGGACATGATAGCAGTGTTCCAATATCTCAGGGGCTGCCACAAAGAAGAGGGAGTCAGGCTATTCTCCAAGGTGCCTGAAGGCAGGACAAGAAGCAACGGGTGGAAACTAACCAAGGAGAGAAGCAACCTGGAACTAAGGAGAAACTTCCTGACAGTTAGAACAATTAACCAGTGGAACAACCTGCCTCCAGAAGCGGTGAATGCTCCAACACTGGAATTTTTTAAGAAGAGACTGGACAGCCAGTTGTCCGAAATGGTATAAGGTTTCCTGCCTGAGCAGGGGGTTGGACTAGATGACCTCCAAGGTCCCTTCCAACTTTATCATCATTATTATTATTATATTTGGGGAAATACGGTACTAAATGCATCCGTCTGGTTGATGATCTTAACTGGGGCTTATTTTGGGGGTGGGGCTTATATTACAAGTGTCCTGAAAAATCATGCTAGGGCTTATTTTCTGGTTGGGTCTTATTTTTGGGGAAACATTGTATAGGCCCATAGTCTACAGATTACATGTGAGAGGGCAATGAGGCTCAATAAAATCTGGGTTGCTAATATTCTCTTTGGTTGAATTCTAGCTCCCATGGTCTTTAGGAAACTATGTTGTGTGTACCCTTCTCCTTCCAATTTCTCTCCCCATAGGATACTCTCCTTCATGGGCATGAGTATCTGTGTGGCGCTCATGTTCATCTCTTCCTGGTATTATGCAATCATTGCAATGGTGATAGCTGGCATGATCTACAAATATATTGAGTATCATGGGTGAGTGTCCCTGAACTGTTTTGGATTCGTTCTGTGTGGCTTCTGCTCAGTGAGGATTTCTTGCAGTTAGATTTACTCCCTCCCAAACCCTGATCCTAATCCTGCCCTAACTGAATCATAAGCACCTGGGATTCTGCAGGATTACCTGAATACATTTTTGCTCTGTCTGCAACAATTCTGGAAAGGATAGTCTTTTTTGTGACATGCTTGTTTGGCTAAACTGTGCTTCCCTTGCAGAGCTGAAAAAGAATGGGGAGATGGCATCCGTGGCTTGTCTCTGAGTGCAGCCCGTTTTGCTTTGCTGCGCCTTGAGGAAGGGCCACCCCACACCAAAAACTGGAGGTAGGGAACCCACTGATTGCTTTCAGACTCTTGTTGCCTCAACATGGGACAGTGCTGCATAGAAAATGCACATTCAGATTCAGAACTGAGATGGAAGGGACCTTGGAGGTCTTCTAGTCCAACTCCCTACTCAAGCAGGAGACTCTATACCATTTCAAATGTGACTGTCCAGTCTCTTCTTAAAAACCTCCAGCAATGAAGCACCCACAACTTCTCAAGGCAAGCTGTTCCACTGATTAATTGTTCTCACTGTTAGGAAGTTTCTCCTTAATTCCTGGTTGCGTCTCTCCTTGATAGGTTTCCATCCATTGCTTCTTGTCCTGCCTTCTGGTGCTTTGGGAAATTAGGTGACCCTCTCTTCTTTGCGGCAGCCCCTCAAATACTGGAATACTGCTATCATGTCACCCCCTAGTCCAGTGATGGCGAACCTATGGCACGGGTGCCAGAGGCAGCACTCGGAGCCCTCTCTGTGGGCACACGTGCGGTTGCCCCAGCCTTGCCTCCCCCACGACCCCCTCCTTTCCAGCAGCCCCTCTGAAGGAGAGTCACCCTTGAGCGTGGCCCACACGGAGCAGTGCAGCCAAGGACATGGCAGCCAGGCAGCGTAGACAAGACTCTGCCCTCACACCCCATCATGCAGGGTGCGGGCAGAGGGTGTGGCCGCCATAGTGCTGCTGGGCTTCCTGGGTGATCTGCAGCGGGCCCTGGAGGTGGTGAGTGGTCCTGTGGGTGGGCGGGATGGGGGAATGGGGGGCAGAGTAGGGGCGTGGCGGGGGTGGAGCGAGGGCAGGGCCAGGTTTTGGGCACTCGGTCTCTAAAAGGTTCGCCATCACTGCCCTAGTCCTTCTTTTCTCTAGACTGGCCATACCCAAATCCTGCAATTGTTCTTCATATGTTTTAGCCTCCAGGCCATTAATCATCTTAGTTGCTGTTCTCTGAGCTTTTTCCAAAGTCTCAACATCTTTTTTGTAAATGTGGTGACCAAAACTGGATGCAGTATTCCAGGTGTGGTCTTACTAAGGTTTTATAAAACGGAATTATTATACATGCGGATTGACATGCATTATTTTCTGCAGTATAAATTCTTACATCTCTGTGCTTTTGGGCAAAGTCTAAATTCATCTGCTCCTTTCATCTCTTACATACGCATGTTGGGCTTCCATTTCTCCTTAGGCCACAACTGTTGGTGTTGCTAAAATTGGATGAGGATCTACATGTGAAGCATCCACATCTGCTCACCTTTGCTTCTCAGCTGAAAGCTGGCAAAGGACTCACTATTGTAGGCTCGGTCATGGTGGGCAACTTCCTGGAGAGTTACAGTGAAGCACTGGCTGCTGAGCAGGTGAGATTTCATGGAAGTGCATTTCAGCTGAGTGGTGCCACCGATTAAGATAGGAGGCTACAAAAAGGGCAGCTATCAGTATGAAGCAAAGCTTTTGGATAATTAGAGACAAGAAAAATAGGGAAATAATTGTTGTTTAATCTTCCTGTTTGTTCAGTGATGTATGTGTCTTCTCCAGCTAGCATGTGTTTTCCAAAAGTTCAGGAATGAAAGTGTTCTATCCCAGCCTATAGCCGTCCTTGTTAAAGGCACAAGGACCAAACCCCTGTTGAGAAAATAGACTGTAGACTCAAAACAAAACAAACCCCTTTTAATATGGGTAACCAACCTGCCAAATAGTCCAGAAACAAAAGCAGCAAAACACAATCCAAATGGAGGAAATTGTCCACACGAAACACGATGCAAACAGAAAAGTAGTCACCGGCAATACTAACAGAACATGATCCCGTGAAGTACTTTGCAACGGTTGCCTTCAGCAACCAGCACCGCCCACACCTTTTTATACAGCAGTCCCAAGGCGTTGCCTCTCAGTGCCTTCTCCTCTTTCCCTGGAGTTGTCGTATTGACTGCTGCTGATCTGCTCTCGCTAATTGCCAGCGTGTACGAGCATCAATTAGCATGTCCATCAGGTGTGAGTCCTCCAAGTCTGACTCATTCTCCCCACACAGCTGAGCTTCATCAGGAACACGACTGGGCAAACTGTGAGTCTTGTAATTCATCAGAGCCTCCCTCTGACCCTGATGGCCTTTCAAATGCCTCCCCCACCTCCTCCTCAGATTCCCCAGACCCAGCTGTTGGGAACACAGGCTGGCACGGAATCACGACAGAAAGTGCCTTTTTCAATTGGGCTACCTAAAATCTTTTAACTGGATATATAGCGAGGATTGAATCCTTTGCATACGAAACAGGTTCTTTGAACTGAGCTATGAGTCACTTCTTATAAGAACTTGCTGTGCAAAGTCCTAAAAACTGATTTTGGGGGAACAGGTTCCTGTACGTAACGGACACAAACCAAATACTAATTTAAGGTAGACATACATTTTATATTAAAAAGTGTACATAAGCAAACTAGCTTCTGTTGCGGCTCTCTTATCTTAGTGTGGTTTTCCCGTAAGGAAATCTGGTTTCAAAGATGGTTGGGACAAATGTTTTAGAGCGCTATGATAGGTAAGGCAGTCACCCGTTGTGTTTTTGTTAAGCCGGGTTTTCCAAGCTTGCCAGAGTAATCTGAAATGGGATTTTTAGCATGGAGCATAAACTAGAATGTTGTGTTTTGTCAACCTGGGTTTTATGTATTGGATGCTGCCATCATGGAATTTATCTGCTTCCACCATGAAGCTATTGCTTTGTCTTGTGATTGTATCTGGCCCAAACCCAAATATGAAAATAAAAGATTGATTGTGGTCAGGACAAGCAATCTATGAGATATATTGATTCAGTTTATATTATAGTATTAGTAGCATCTAATAGTCTACAGCAGACATGTCAAACACAAGGCCCGGAGGCCGGATGCGGCCCACGAAGTGGTTTCATGTGGCCCGCGAAACCATCCTGGAAACAGTGAGGGAATGGCCCCTGCTGCCTTGGCCCTGGTCCAGGCCGGCCGGGAGCCAATGTACAATTTTGTGGTGGCCATCTATGCTGAAATGCATTCAGTCTTAGCTCCACAAGGCCGTCTGGAAACAGCGAGGAACCAGCCCGTGCGGCGTCGGCCCCACCCCCTGGGTGCATGCTGGGGAAGTGTCACCCTTTGTGAGGAATGAAGAAATGGACCATTTATTTATTTATTTATTTTATTTCCATTAACTTATATGCCGCCCTTCTCCCCATGGGACTCAGGGCGGCTCACAGCATGTTAAAACAATATAAAACATTTCCCCTATAAAAGCCAATTAAAAAACAAATATTTATAGCTGTGTCTTATTAAAATCTTTAAAATTGTCCCTATTTAAAATTCACCCTAGGTCAGTCCCGCTTGCTGAAAAAGCCATGTCTTGAGGGCGCGGCGGAAGGTTAGGAGATCCGGAATCGTCCGGATCTCGGGGGGTAGTTCGTTCCAGAGGGTGGGGGCACCCACAGAGAAGGCCCTCCCCCTGGGGGTCACCAGCCGACATTGCTTGGCC